TTTGTAAGGGAAGACCAAAGGCAAGGTAAGGTAATGTAATATCCCTGAAATATTTTAACAATAATTTGACAATTAGAAAAATACAGCCTGAAAAAGGAATTCCACCCTGTCTAAGCCAACTCCCGCCATGATAATTTAGTACCCCTAGGTGCCTTTGCATTTTAGAAGAGAACTCTCATAGTTTAGTGACAAACAAATTAATATATTTACCACAATTTATTAAAATTTTGAAAACAGAAGTTATAAGAAAATTAGCCTAGCCAGAAAAAAGTATCTTTGGCAATATCATCAACTACAGCAGGAAATAGAAACCAAAAAAAATGCAGTGTTACAAGATGAAATCGCTATATTTCTGATTTCTGAGCACCCAGAGAAGCAAAAGTACAAATTTCAGCCAATAATGAAACTAACCCTTAGGTTCTTAAGATCAATATCAAAGAGTTCCTTTAGACTTGGCCTTTGCACTTTCACCACAACCTCCTGCCCCTTCAATCTTGCACGATGAACCTGACCTGAACAAAGAGATTACCCATATTAAGCATTCAAATAAGCCACCAAACAGAGAATTTCAAAATGCGTTAGCTAAACTAAATTTCCTAACATATATCACGATAAGCTACAGAAAATGTGAATCAAGTTTACCAAGACTAGCAGCAGCTATCGGTTCATGGTCAAACTGATCAAATATATTGGCCAAAGGACCTCCAAGCTCTTCTTCAACTATTGATATTGCTGTCTCAGATGGGAAGGGAGGAACTTGATCCTGAATTGAACATGAGAATCCATCAGCCTAAGCAAAGTTCATTGAAATATTACATTGTTCGAATTGAAAACATATATAATTTATATGCAACAGGCCTAACCACAGAATGGTAAAAGCATAAATAAGAGAGATAATAACCTGAAGCTCTGACAACTGGTCAACATATTCTTGTGGTAGAATGTCCACTCTTGTGGAAAATTGCTGGCCAATTTTAATAAACGTTGGACCTAATCTTAAAATGTTTTCTTTCAACCACTTAGCTTGGATCTTTCTTCTTGCAACCTTCTTCTCTTCTGTCATTCCTCCTAAAAGAAAATTATAGAGCGTGAAATGAAGGAAAAATTTCTATCCTCCAATAGTACTATCGAATCCAGAAGGGAAACTTTCGGAGTGTGTTCAGCATTCATGTTGCAAAAGGGCTCACCTCGATAAGTAAATTTCTGATTGTTAAGCCAAGCCTTAGTGATAAAAGTAAAAACAAATCCCCATATCTCCAAGGTTCTCTGAATTGTGGAATATGTTTTAAATCTATTCCAGCGTCCACCGGGCGCCACAGACACCTGAAAACCCCGACAGAAAATGTACATAGCAATGAAATATAAGAGACCTATACAATGACCAAAAGTGTGGAATAAAATGCAACCTACAATAAAAAGGAGAGATTAAAATTACCTAAAATATGGAGGAAAATATTGATGCTTCATACTTAAACTACCAGGTTTTCTATAGTTTCATAATGAAAAAACAAGTCCCAAAACGTGCAGCTTTTCATCAAGAAGCACTCAGATTGCAACTTATATCACGAGGACATTACCAAGATTGATGCAATCTTATTTTAAAATCATAATACTTACTCTGAGAATTTTGTACTCCAGTAGTTACGATTGCATTTGACTATTAAAGTGAAAAACTTCTATTTTCAAGGAGCGAAATGTGATTACACACTACTAAAGGAGCAGATAATAGAAGTTATTATGAACTTTGACGGATAACTAAATCCCAATTAGACCCAAAAGTTTAAGACTAATCCAATTAATTCGTTACCACACTTTAATTGTGGGTTCAGGTAGTAATTTTGATTAACCACACCCAAAATTGGGATTATCAAAATTAAAGGAGAGGTTAAAATGGAAATGGTTGAAGCCATTATCTCCCAGTTCAGTGTCATGTAAAATCCGGTACACCCAAATGAAGCTCGAATCTAGGATTTGGGACCTCCCAAATAGGCAGTTCAAGCAATTCCTGATCAGAGATTGTACGTGCACATATACTAGCTATATGACGTTTGAAGATAAAAACCTCCGGACTACATAGAACCTCACCGCCAATGAATCAAGAAATAAAAACGAGAAACAAGCAGAAACTGAGCAAAGAATCAATTAATCAGAATCAAACCTCGACCTGTTGCTGGTCACTCCGCTTAAACCAAGCCTCTTCTTTACCAATCTCCTCTATCCTCTTCTTCCTCCCCTCCTCCATCGACTTCGAAGCTTGAATTTCCCCCACCACCGTCGCAGCAACACCATTTCCATTAACATACTTCACTAATCTCCCATTGTTTCCACCACTCTCACTCTCCATAACCGTAACTCCGCCATTAACCCAACCATTATCCCTGTAACTACCATTCGCACTGTAAGCAGCTCCGTTACTTCCAAGTCCATATCCATTAACTTCCTTGCTCAGTTGATTCTCCCTCCCTTCAGCAACCACACCGTTTTCTCTGACAGCTCGGACCTTCGTGCGAAGAAGAACACTAAGCCTACAACTTCTAGAAAAAGGAATCCTATTGAGCGAAGAACTGGGACTGGAAGAAGATAGAAGGCGCTTCGGTGAGATGAAAACGAGTTCAGGTAAAGGCAGGGAATTAGCCATGAAGAAGAAGAAAATTCTTCCACCCGGAACTGAAATTGAAGGTCAGTGATTCATTCGACAGAACCCTAGCTCTGAAGCGCGGGGGGGGAAAAGAGCGGCAATGGTGGAAAGCGCAGAGAGACGAAAGGGAGAAGGAGAAGTGGTGAAGTAGACAGCGAACCAGAAAAATTACGAATTTTAGTTTAGGAAAAAATATATAAAACATAAAAATAAATTGGGCAAACGAAAATTGAAGGAGTGGAGGTGATAGTGACACGTGGCATGAAAAGATGGGTGTTGGGGATTCTCATTGGTTCGAAAAGTTCGTGTGGGGCCACAAAACATGTGTCGATCGAATGGTTTAGGAATTTTTGACGCTTTTTGGCCTACGTGTCGGCGTTGGACCCCCCATAATCCTGTGGTTGGCAGTCTAGAGCTTGCGTGAAAGCACGCGCTGTTTTATGTTCGCGGATCTCATGCTTGGGATCGTGCTATGCACGCGCACAAAATATAGGCCCATTGGGCTGGAGTCGTAGCGATGTCGATTGGTGGATGGTATTTATATAATGAAATCAATTATTGAGGTCTTATTCGTAATTTTATAATTTTGTATTTAATAAATTTTAATAATTTTAAATTATTATTTATTGTTATTATCTAGTTAATATTGGTAGAAGTTAAAAGTTCAACTAACCCTAATGACTAATTTAAATATATGAAAGATACATTTTTGGTCTAGGAGACTTTAAATTTAAATTAATATATTTTAAATATTAAAGTTTGAGTTAAATGAAGTTTATGTGACATTTTTTATTTAAATATTTTAAAATTAAAAAAATTAATACATTGTTATTTTTTAATCTTATTAAAAGTATGTGGATTAAGTTCAATATTTGTGTATAAAAACTAAAATAAAATGCACAAAAGAAATTTGTATGTCATAGATTTTCTTTTATTATTATTATTTAACTTGAAGTTTGTATATTGCTGAAATTAAATAACTAACAATAAAACAATAATAAATTTTATAAGTATCAAGTTGAGATTTAATTTTCAAAAATGGTAAAAAATTACCATAAATAAGGGTAAGAAAATTGTCTAATAGGGCGGCTAATATTTGTTATTTTCTAAATATATTGTAATAATTTATTGTCAGTAGATATTGTCTGCTTAGATCGGTTAGATATCATCGTCACCTTCATGATTTTAAAACAAGTTTAGTAGGGAGAGGTTTTCACAACTTTACAAGAAGTCATTTGTTTTCCTCTCTAACCAATATAAGATCTGACGATCCATTCTCCTTGGGGGGCCAACGTCCTTAGTGACATGTCGCCCGATATCTGACTCTAATACCAGTTGCAACAACCCAAAACCTATCGTTAGCAAATACTGTTCGTTTTGGCCCCTTATATATCGTCGTAAGCCTCACGGTTTTAAAATGCATCTACTAGATAATGGTTTTCACACCTTTATAATTTTTTTGTTCCCTTCTCCAACCGATGCGAGAACTAACAACCGATGTGCAGCCTAATATTTAGTGATAAGCACCAACAATTGCTAGATTTTGCAAAGCTAGAGATCATTCTAGAATTATTGCAAAATTTCACAAATAAAGCTAACTTGGAGAATGATTCCAACCAAAAGTTAGTTAAAAGGATAAATAACTATTATATTTAATTTGAAATATGTGATAGTCACTCTTAGATCACAAGACGACTCACTTTAAAATTAGCTTGTTTAAGATTAATCCAATGAATCGATTTTACTTCAAACCTAAAGCAACGAAGTTTGAAAAATAAACAACCACCACCAGAGTTTCAAGAAAACACAAGGTTTTTGTATCCCACCATTATTTCAAACTTGAATATTACGTATCTTAAATAGGTTAAAAACATAATCTAAACACAACAATAGTTTGGGTACCCACTACCAATGAAAGTTATTAATTAAAAAGTCAAGAAGATAAGACAGACATAAATAAGAGTCGTTCAACTAAAAAAACAAAGTCTTCAAATCTACTTTCCAATGTTAAGCAATATTTATTGTCACTCCATGTTTTTCATTCAGTTACATACAATATGTTAGTAGTCAAATTTATATCATTTAGCGAGAAATTTCATATACTCCTTTTAAGGAAAACATAATTAAAAAAATTCTAAATTTTAATTAGCTCTGTAAAGTTGACCATGAATGTTAGTTTTATGGAGCGCCAAATCTAAATTTTAGACTCCAAATATTACATCATTACATGTCAATGAATTATGATTGTGTTGCCAGACAATCATGTTAATTTTTAGGTTAAAAGTCAAAGGTTGGACTTTTATTAATGTATATATTTAGTCCAAATTTTAAATTGTCGGAACCCGTTTGAAATAAAGTCATTTACAAGTAGAGAAGGGTTCAAATCGACGAGAATTTCCAGTCTATGGTAAGTCAGGTGACCGCGCCTTTTCAGTCGGCCATGGACGAAGCCCCTATTTGTGCACCCACTTGCAGCGCCTTTGTCGATGAAACCACCGACAATGACCGTGAAGAAATTACGGCGCCTGACTCATCTCCGGGGAACTCAACCCGGACGCTTTACGACCCTCCGCCGTGCTCAAATCGATATAGGAAGAAGAAGAAGAAGAAGAAAAAGGTTATTATTGATAACGCCCAAGAACTGATTTACTCGTCCTCTTCTTGTTCTTCTCCCGCAAGATTGATACACAGAGGTGTCAATTGCAAACGCCGACGCCCCAAGGTTCTACTTGTCCAACCGCGGCGTGTCGATTGTGATTTTGAAAGCGTGGCGCTTTTATTGGGGATGTCATTCGCAGCTTTTGTTTCTCAGGTTCGTCTTCTTTTCCTGATTCATAGGGTTTCACAGGCTAGGGTAAATTTTTGCCTCTTGGTTGCGCTGTTTTCGTTTTCATGCTTCTAAACTGCCAAATTTCTCTTAATTCAATGCATAGTTCTTCTTCAAGGAGCTGGATCCCAATTCTATTTAACTAGTGGAAGTTAAATTTGTTTCAACTGGGAAAGCAAATTTAGTGGCTTCCTATTATGGTTCAAATAGTAGAACATTGATGATCACAAAGCTCTAGATTTATGGACTGTTTCTTGCCAAATCATGATGCTATCTTCGTAGGGTTAACCATGTCGTGTTTGTGTGATTCTAGGTGTTTGAGAGGCAGGACATGTCTAGTGAAAGGATGTCTGTTGATCATCTCTCAATGGTACGCTATCGTCTCTATATTATGAATGCCTGAAGAAGTTTTGAGACAAAGTTATTATTATTTTACGTATGTGAAGCAATATTCAATGAATATTAAGAGTAGTACTTTCAAAGTAAGCAGTGTCCCAATGTTCTATGAATTGTGAATTGTTCTGCACTTTGGAGAGGAGAACGAAACATTCCTTACAAGGGTGTGTGGAATCCTTTCCCTAGTAGATGCGTTTTAAAACCTTGAAGGGAAGCCCAAAAAGGAAAACCCAAAGAGGATAATATCTTCTAGCGGTGGGGTTGGGCTGTAGGGTCAGTCTTATTCTAAGGTTCGTATTCATCGTGAATGATTTTACTGCTTTGTTTTGCAACTCTCACGATGTAGCCATAGGTGTGGTTTTAATCTTGATTTGCTGGTTTTGGTCTGGTCTGGTCTGCTTATTGTATGCATTGAGCCATATGATGCAAGATCATCTTGTCTACCTGCAGATTTGCACTTCAGCTATAAGAGAATCTTTGGTCAATGTAAGTTCGATTTCTTACTACAGCTCTTGCCGACTATTTCGTTTTTACATGTTCTTATTCATTCAGCATTGTCCAGAGTCCAAGATGCTGAAGTCCCTTCAACATGCCTGATCTTTGACCGGTTGTATGGAAACAGGTTTTTGGGGACAAGCTCGATTGGTTTTTGAAGAAATTTGAGAAGTCGTTTGGCAGCACGTTAAGAACTCTTAGATCAATTAGTGAATCATCTGCTAGAACTGGTGTGAATTTCTCCAGCAAGCGCAAAGAAGAAAACATCACCGTGGATCTGACCCCTGATAGGAAACGGGATGGGACAAGTAGCTCTAGTCTGGAAGAGTCTTCTAGGACAGATGCCCCTGTTGATCAACTAAGTTTAATTGAAGAGGTAAATGAAAGCGTTTCTGATTCATTGGGTCGGGAGTTAGCTTTGTGTAGACTGACAGACGATGTGCCTTCTATTGCCCCACGGCCAGTTGGTTGCCATAGCAATGAGGTATCCGTTGGCACTTTCGAAAGATCTGTTGTCGAACAGGCACGTTCCAACGATCTTAGAACATTGGAGTTTGGCCTTGCATTGAGGAAATTAAAGTTGAAAGAGACACAAATCGCACTCAATTGTGAATTAAACAATCTTGAGAGGTCGAAATTGGCAATGGGCATATCAAAAGCCTCTTTTAAGGCAGAGAAGTTCAAGAATCAGTTAGAAGACACGAGACAATCGGAACTGCTTAAGAACTGCAGAGACTGTCTCGTTGCTGGTTTTCTTATAATGTTGGTTGCCCTCTCTTATGGAGCATATGTTTATTCATATCAAAGAATCTCTGAAGCTACTTCAATCTGTACACCAACTCAGGCAAGTACAGCTCCTTCTTCCTGTTATGGTTCGCTTCACACACTCGTCGATCTGCAACTTGAAAAATACATACTTTATCAGATGAGTTTTTTCATCACATATTGTTCAAGTTTACATGAGGTTCTATGCTCATTACAGGACTCAAAATCTTGGTGGATGCCAAATCCCATGGCATCTTTGAACTCCGGATGGCATATGTTAAGGTGTCAAGTTCAAGTTGTGAGCCGGTTGGCGTTCGGTGGGATCATGATTCTTGCAATAGCTTACTTGCTAATCCAACGCTCAGCTACTTCAAATCAGGCAATGCCAGTTACTTTCATCGTCTTGTTGCTTGGAGTAGCCTGCGGTTTAGCTGGGAAGTTCTGCATAGACACACTGGGAGGAAGCGGATTGCATTGGCTCATGTTTTGGGAGATCATGTGCTCAATGCACTTATGTGCAAATCTTTTTACATCAGCACTGTTTCTGATCTTACAGGGGCCGGTCGAAGTTTCTCAAGGGAAAAATCGTCACTCAATCTTGCCATATTGGATTCGCCGTGCTGTATTCTACGCCCTTCTTCTTGTATTTCTGCCATTGTTGTGTGGACTGATACCATTTGCAGGTGTAGGTGCATGGAAAGATCATTTTTTTCTCCTGGTTACTGAACTGATTGCAGCAGACGGCTACTGAAGGAAGGATATGGCTGCTTTGGGTTCGAGCTGAGTTGCATTTTATCTTGTAGTAGAATCCTATTTATTGGATTATTTATCTTGTATTAGTTATTATCTAACGGTTGGGCCGTTGGCTTAAGCCCATAGCGCCCAATGGGCTCAGCCACGTGTTAGAGAAAGCCCATATTCCTCAATATTTTAGTCCCTCAAACAATAACACATCCTTAAAATTTACGATTTATTAATTGAATATAATAATAATATATTATTGTTGGGGATGAGAACTGAGAAGAGAGGTCCCCCACGTGGTTAACGTAGCGTCGACCAAGGGAGTTGGGGGGGGAAGGGACGAGACAAGACGCGGAGACGGAGAGGTGGTCCCCGGGGAGGACAAAAAAAGCACGCTTGCCTGCCTGTCTGCTGCACGTGCGCCTACGCCTCTGTGGACTCTGTGCCCTCATAAACTCCACCGCCCGCACGTGTCCCATCCCTCCCCCCATTATTTTAATTCCAGTAATCTTTTCTTTTCCTTTTTCCGTCACCCATCTTATTCTAATTTTTAGGCTATCATTTTCATGCGTAGTTTTTGGATTACGCATATTACTTATGTATTAATCATATAATTAGTATTTTATAATAAGATTTAAATGCCTTTGTATTATATTTATATAAATATTTTAATATAAGGTAGTAGCTAGCAGATCTTCAATGTTCCCATGAGATTACACCACATGCGGAAGCATCCATGAAATAATTTAAAAATCACTATATACATAAATAATAAATATTTTAATGTGAAAATCGAAACTTGGAATATTACGCTTGAATCCGATGCTAATTTCAATTTGTTTTAATTTTTATTTAAAGTTTAATGAACACCGTCAAAATATTAATAATAAACTAAAATTAAATTTAAGGAGAATTAAGTAATTTTATAAGGTGGGACCAAATTAGGAGTGAAGTAGAGTTGGGGATATTGAATTGCGGTTAGAAACAAATAGAAGGCTTCCAAAAGGGAAATTGGAAGGGAGCTTAGAGGAATCAATAATGGTGGCCATTTTGTAGGACCGCTAAGCCGGTGGCGCCCAATCCACTACGCCCTACACCTTACCTTGGTTGGCTTCTTCCTTTGACTCAGACTTTTGGTCAATCTTACTGTATACCTCCATCATTTTTATTTTGTATTTTCTAACGACTAGGGAGCGGACTCGATTAAGAGTCCAAGATAAAGTTAGAATTTGACCCAATATTTTATTTTATGGATTGACCATTTAGTAAATTAACAATTTGCCCTTCTAAATTTTAAGCTTCCATTAATTAAAATTTTAAAATTTTGTAAATATTTAATTTATTCTTTAATATAATAATAAATAAATGGGAACGAGGGGGTTAATAAATAATATGACTTAGAGGCAACCCATCCCGCCAAAATGAGTTTAGCTTAGCGTAATTCCCTCGCTCAAAGCCAACCGATCCACGTGCTTGACAAGTGTTTTACCGGGACCCACCAATGCGACAACTAATTAAAAAATTTTAATAAATAAAAAATTAACGCATAATACTGAAATATAATTTAAGAAAATTTCGGCTGTGGCAATTCGCTAAAATACCCCTAAACATCGGTTGTAATACCCAAACTACCCCAACCAAAGGAAGAATCTACAAGTGCGGTTCCTTGTGAAGATGTTCAACATTGAACGCGCTCTTCTCGCGAAGTTAGCTTGGTGATGCGTTGCACTACTTTTTCTTCACACGCTCTGTTTTCTCTCTCTCTCTCTCTCTCTCTCTCTCTCCCTGATCGAGAATAAACCCTAGATAGAATGAGAAGAAGGTCCATACCGGAGCTGGATTGCCGGTACTGAAGAATTGGGAGCCGCTGCAGAGAGATTTGTTGCTGCTGTCTGAAGAAGTCATGACGGGCAGAGGGCCATCGGGAAGGACGCCGACGTGGAAGGAAAGGGAGAATAATAAGAGGAGGGAGAGGCGTCGGAGGGCCATTGCTGCTAAGATCTACACTGGTCTTAGAGCTCAGGGGAACTATAAGCTTCCTAAACACTGTGACAACAACGAGGTCCTGAAGGCACTCTGTAATGAGGCTGGTTGGGTGGTTGAAGAAGATGGCACCACTTATCGCAAGGTTTTGTGGTTTCTCTCTTTTAATCACTTGCTTTTTAAGTGTACTTACTTTTTCAGCGATTTTGGAATGTGATGATCATGGTCTCTTGTCCAGATCCGTGTTTATTTTAGGTCTTTTGTTACTACTTGCGCGTTTTGTCTTTGGTTCTGTGATTTGATGTTCTTAGATCTGGATATTTGGTAAACCGAGAATTTAAGAATCTATTGATTTGATAAAATGAGTAAGTGACAGTGGCCGAATGAGAAATCAGTGTTGTAGTTTCCTCTTTTAGATCCAGAATTCTTAAGCAGTTGATATGTCTAAATCTTCGAAGTTCATTAGTACGTAAGAAAGGTGTAGCAGTTTATTTATCTCTCCCCAATTTAACGAGCTTTAATTAGGTTTGTCATCTGTGTCGTTCCCTTCTCGATGTCTTAGATGTTGTTTGTATGCTACTAAAAGTTGATGCGCGCGCCATTTTTGGGTGCGTCTCCATCAACTTTTAAGAGTGAAATGCGTAGCAGTTTCTGATTTCGGCAATATGTTTGATTTCTTGTCTATGTTTCTTACCAATTATGTTGTTACCTTGTACAGGGAAGCAAGCCACCTCCGATTGATATTGGCACTTCTGCAAACATGAGTGCCTGTTCCTCTCTTCAACCAAGCCCACAATCTTCCTGCTTCCCGAGTCCTGTACCATCCTACCATGCCAGTCCTTCCTCGTCCTCTTTTCCAAGCCCAACTCGATTTGATGGGAATCCATCTTCTTATCTTCTGCCATTTCTTCAAAATATATCCTCTATACCTGCTAATCTCCCTCCTCTCAGAATATCAAACAGTGCACCTGTCACACCACCTCTCTCTTCCCCGACGTCAAGGGGTTCTAAGCGAAAACCAGACTGGGAGTCCATTCCAAATAGCTATGTAACCTCTTTCCGCCATCCATTCTTTGCTGTATCCGCTCCTTCAAGTCCAACAAGATGCCACCATCTTACACCGGCTACAATCCCCGAATGTGACGAGTCGGACGCTTCAACTGTGGACTCTGGTCGCTGGGTCAGCTTCCAGACTGTGGCACCTTCCGTGGCTCCTCCTTCCCCTACGTTTAATCTGATGAAACCAGTTAGTCAGCAAAACTCTCTCCATGATGCAGTTGACAGACATGGAGCAATGGGCTGGGGTGCTACCTCTGATAGGGGACGAGGCTCCGAGTTTGAATTTGAGAAATTTGAGAGTGGCGCAGTGAAGGCGTGGGAGGGTGAGAGAATTCATGAAGTTGGGGTGGACGACTTGGAGCTTACTCTTGGGGGTGGGAAGGCCCGTTGTTAAGCATCCACACGAAGATATTTATTTCAAGAACTTAAGTGCCTGCTCTTTAAAGATTATTGGTTTATGTTCACAAAATATGTTTACTTTCATTGCTTGGACTTGCACTTCTGCTACCATTAGAAAGATCCTGGTTCGCCTTCTTGCAAAACTCTGAACTCGTTACTACAGCTTGTAGTGGAAGAGCAATCAAAATTTGAGTCAAGGCCCAGGAAAGGACATCATTCGCTACTGGAAAATGAGAAGAACAATGCCATTGTCATGGTTATATATTTTTCCTTCCCTCTCGGAGTGCTTTCAATTTTTTTTCAGGATCGCATGGTCCTTAGAGTAGAGATTGCTCACCTGTATCAGACATTTCTTGTATATAGAATCTGTAATTCATCTTGCTTGGGGCATTATTGATAAAAATTTCCATCTTTGCAGAACGTGATAGAAACGAACAACCAACTGTGGGGGAAAAATTGCTATGAACATTGCCCATTTTCTTCCTGGTCAGTTATGGGTCATTACATTTTTTCTGTCAAGTCAATGTTAAATCTTGAAATACATTGCATGTATGCGACTGACTGAGCTTTCTGCAGTGGTAGCCTGGTGGGGTGGTGTCCTTCCCTGTTGTGCTCTGTGGGTCAGATGAGCAAAGAATCCAAAGGCAGGAGGGGCCGTGGGGCCTCATAAATAGGCCACGAGATGAGTACTCTGTGTTCTTGGCTGGCCAGTGCCAGTGGATCTTTGCGTGCTGCTCTTTTTTCGCAGATTGTTTACGTACCGACCAATTAATTCAGCAACTGCCTCTCAGAATGATCAATAATCTGCTTTATCTATTTCAACACAGCCGTTTATAAAGCCCATCTCCCCAATATTGACATTCTTTTCAGAAGAAATTCAACAGGGCTACAAAATTTTGGGCTTATGTTAACAAATACTTTTTGTTTAGTCTTACAATACTTTACAATGGAAACAATATTCTAAAATGCATAAACCAACAAATTAGAAAACTATATAATATCCATTATTAATAAAAATAAATAAATTGATTTTCAAATGAACGTGGAGCCGTCATCTTGATTGATCAAAACAGTTGACATTAAAAAAAAAAAAAAAAAATGAACATGTGAAGCCGGTGCCATTAAAAAATGGCCCTTCTTTAATGTCTAATTTTAATCTTTAAACTACACATGTATAGAAAATTATCTTAATTGACTATTATTTATACGGTCAATATGATTAATTACGAATACAACCAAACTTACTATTGAAAATTGAATAGACTCAGTCACATAATTGTTTAATCTATGGTCAAATGTATCAGGAATCTTCGAATAAATTAGATAGTATATGAATATTGTCTATACAATATGCTTTTTTTTAATTATGTCATTAGCATTTAAAACCTTTGGTCGCATAATATAATTAAATATTTTATTGTTCAAAGTTTTTGAATAGGAACATCTCATTGAGTATTTTAGTATATCCGAAGAAATTTTGTCATACAATATTAAGAAGCCACGAAAATACATTAATTTTTTGACATTGTCCATGTGGTGCTGTCCCCTTACTCATTTAATTGATCCATTATTCAATTACTTGCATAAATTTATTAGCAATGGTTTTTTTTTTTTTTTGGATTCCACAATATTTTTTTCCCATTATATATAATAAATAGAACAAATATAATTTCTATTATAAAAATATTAGTATCATGTTATAGAACTAAAATTTCAAACTAGAAAAATTATATTTATATATAAAAAGTGGGGTGGGATGGGGCGAGGATGAGGATGGAGACAATCCAGTTCACGCTCCTTTGAGCTAATGGGGAGAAATCTCCTTGATCCCTCCTCCGTTCCATATTTAAACAGAAATTTTTTACTTTGTATGGGCCTCCAACAAGGTCCTGGGTTAAATAAACATATCTAAGCTAATTACAAATATCGACATATTATTTAGGTCCGATATTTTAATTTTTCATTAACATAACAAAAAGTATTTAAATGTCATGAATGTCATACAAATGTGAACTATGAAGCATATGAAAGATATAGGTAGATTGTCAAATATATTTACAACAAAAATTAATACATTAAATAAAGAATTTGATTTCAATTAAGTTTCTTCAAAATAGTTTGCCGTTGCATTAAGCACGATAATTAAGTAATTATGTTGAAGTCAGTACAAAAAAGGAAATAATGCTAATTATGAACCGGCCCCATTTTTCTCCACAATAATTAAGAGAGTTGAAATTTAAAATATTAATAAATCCTAAAAATAATAAATAAACGGAAAAATATTTCTTACTCAACATTTAATTGATTTAAATGTGAATTAATTCTCAAGTACTTGCATTTTTTCTTGCTTAATTGCGTCTTAAACTAATTATAGAATTATTATATTTTATAGTAACTTTTATTTTCTTTAAATTTTTCTGAAATGGCTCTCATTTCTTATTAATAATTAATTTATGAATAAGTCAATAGGTTGATGTTGATTTTAATAGCCGTAGGTATTATCTGATTTCTTCCAAAACATCATCATTATCAAGGAGTAAGTAGCAAAATTGTAAAGTTTTTTTAAATAGTATCGTGACTCATACATTCTCCTAACGAGTTACAGGGGAGTCTCCCATCTTTTTCATGCGGACTTTTTAAATCACAACCGCCCTTCCAAATAATCACACCATTAACTAACAAAACAGCTAATAAATTAACATTATTTGTCGTCTAATAATTTAACAAAAATTATTAAACTAATATGATTATTAGAAAAGTACTGCTATATATGGTTTGTGTTGCTGTATCGGAAGGTCAATGCTTTTATTTTTTTAATTTTAATTATAATATAAATCCATGGTTTTCTTTAAGATAAAATTAATTGTTACGTAATTACGACACGTGGACGGCCAATCTTTCACCATTTTTTTTTTTTTTTTACTCGGTTTCAGCTTTCTTTCATTTTAATCTTTGTTTGAAAATGGAATAAAACATTAAATTTATATAATTAATTACCGACTTGAATTTAAATGAGATTTTTCCAATATTGTAATTTTTTTTTAGAAAATAAAAAATGTATTTAGTTTCGATATTTAAATAAATACCACCATGGACTACAAGCAAGCGTAACACTCAGGATTGGTCGTGTTCTTTGTGTTGTTGTTGTTTTCTGGCATCGCCATGGCTGTTCCAGAACCCAAAACCCACGTGGCATTGCTGGTCAGCCCCGGAATGGGTCATCTAATTCCCTTCCTCGAGCTGGCCGACCGTCTGGTCCTCCACCACAACCTCCAAACCACCCTCTTTGTCGTTAACACGGACTCCTCCTCCGCCGCCGATGCCCTTCTCTTCCAAAAATCCTCCGCCGTCAACATCGTCCCTATTCGTCACTCCTCATCCAGCCTAGACCCAACCGTTCCCGTCGTCGACAGAATCAAGGCCATGATGACTGGCTCTTACCCCCACGTTCGGTCCTACATCGCCGGCGCTGAGCCCCGTCCGGTGGCGCTGATCGTTGACCTTTTCGGAACTGAAGCTATAGCCATGGCCCACGAACTTGGCATGTTGGGCTTTGTTTTCATGCCCACCAGTGCATGGTTCCTCTCGCTTTTTTTCTTTTTCCCATGTATGGACAAACAAATGCTTGACGCCCACGCGTACAACCACGAACCGCTGAGAATCCCGGGTTGCAGCTCGGTCCGGTTCGAGGACACTATCGATGCATTGGAGGTGAGTCTGGAGGAAGTCCATGAGGAATTTCGACGTGTCGCACGGGAGCTTGGAATGGCGGATGGGATCTTGGCAAACACGTGGCAGGATCTGGAGCCCACAACGCTAAAAGCATTGAACGAAGCTGGGACCCTCTGTAATGGGAAAGTCAATAAGGTACCGATTTATCCAATTGGGCCGTTGGCAAGACGTGGCGAGCCCAATTTGGAGAGCGAGGTGTTGAATTGGCTCGACCGGCAACCGGATGAGTCGGTGATATACATCTCGTTTGGGAGTGGAGGGACGTTATGTGCGGAGCAAATCACAGAATTGGCATGGGGGTTGGAGCTGAGTCAGCAGCGGTTTATTTGGGTAATACGGCCACCAGCAGGGACAGATCCCATGGGAGCATTTTTCACGGTGGAAACGGAATCGACGGAGAAGACATCGACGGAATACCTGCCGGAAGGGTTTTTAAAAAGGACGAAAGAGGTGGGTTTAGTGGTTCCGATGTGGGGTCCACAAGCGGAGATTTTGAGGCATAGATCGGTGAGGGGATTTGTGACGCACTGTGGGTGGAACTCGTCGATAGAAAGCATGGTGAACGGAGT